CGTGCAAAATAACAGCATTCATTGCTTCTAGTAAGAGTAGGCAGGAGTTTGAGCCACTCATTGGTAAATTCATTGACAGAGCACATTTAGATCCTTTGCATCTAAAGAATAATGCCTGTCAGCATATCCACAAAATAATGTTGCATGAAGCTATCCAAAAGTCTGCCCTTGGAGGTAATGTAACAAATATGAGTGGGGTACCTTGGGATTCTCCATTTTCCAAGTTTGTACAGGCACTGAAATCTAAATGCCAGCTGTCCCGCTTAGCAAACAAAGTAACAAGGTGGTTTAATGAAACAAAGGCAGATGGGAAAGACTTTGAGTATAGATTTACAGGCAGAGATTCCAGGATGTATTTACATAATTTTATGCATCTAGTTGTGTCTTTGGAGTCCCCTGCAGACACTGCAAGGCAAACCTTCAGACTGCACACTTTTGCATTTGTGAGCTTGCAACTAAGAAATGCAGTGTCTTTATTCTGCAGAATGACTATCAGTGATGATGAAATTAAAGTGCTGTCTTCTTACTGCACCAACTATTTCAGGGCTTATAGTTTTTTTATTGGGATAGTAACACCTACTGTATGGACAATAGGTTACATTGTCCCTGTGCATACCAAAGATGTTAAGTGCAAGTATGGAAAGGGTCTTTCAGTTACCTCAATGGAAAGGAGGGAAGCTAAACACATTGCTATTTCAAGGTACTCCCAAAACACCAACTATGGCATGAGATGGCAGCAAATTTTTGGCCACGAATTTCTTTCTTTAATCTGGTTAAGGGAAAGGGATATAACCTTGACAATTACATTCCTTCAAAGGACAGGTATGTCCCTAACAGAGTTGCCCTGAACAACTTGTTTTTGTGGTTGCCCAAAGCCAGAGGTGTCAGAAAGGTGTGGGTATTGTTCACATCTACATAGGCAGGCTATTTTGCTGTCTTGTCAATCAGGAAAGCTGGCTGTTAATAAGAAGCTCTACTAAAGCAATTTTTAACTCAGTGAAATCACTGTCCTTTAAAATGTGAAAAGCTTTGCATGTTGGACAATCAAAGTGTCTTTCAGAGGTTTATGTACATTTTATGCAACAATTGTCTTTGATGTGCAGTTAGATCTTTAAGTAGTTACATGCAAATCAATGTTAAAAATTTGGCATGAACTATTACTTGCATAACTTGTTTAAATAAGGTATCAAATACCAGTTTTTTTGAATTTTGCATTTTGATGCCTGTATTTATACTTGTGTATGTTACTTGCTGTATTTGTAGTTATTGACCATGCATTAAGTACTGTTAATGTATATGAATAATTTATTATCATTCCATTGAATAACATGTATTTACAACAAGCTTTTAGTACATAGACCAGACTGAAGTATTTATGCATACCTTACATGCATTGTAGTAAAGTATTAAAATTTTCAATTTTCATTTGTCAAGAAGAAATGTTCAGAGGTTTTAAAAACCCATATTTATTTCCTATCTTGTAAACAATCAACAATGCAAGAAACATATTAAAAGCATTTTTAACAGACTACAAATTGAACATAATAAACTTAGTCGTGTAAAGGAAACCCATGTATGTTCCAGAAACCATAATGACACGAAACAGTCATTTGCCGCTTTGAATACTTGTAGTAAAGTTTGAATTCCTTAAACCTCCTAATAAGGACTTTTGCTTTGCCCTTCCCAGGTGTCTTCCTTCTCAAATAACTTTTGAACTGTCCTATTGATTTTCCTGTCAAAATTCGAAACATGTAAAAAACAGAAGGCAAATATGCAATTCTGTTTGAGAGGCCCTTACGATTTCCTTCGATGTCTACATCGCTCCTTAGCTCATGATTTGTTTTGGTTGAAAAGGCCCTTTTAAGAGCTAAAAAAATTTCCTTTGGAATGTCACGGGTAAACTCCAAATACCACGGTCTCCTAATTCGCTGACGAGCTGACAGCCTCCTGTAGATTAAATCCAACCATGTACAGGCTTCGTCTTTTAACACTACCCCTGTGTTGAGTGATGATTCACACAAAATGGCAAATGAATCGTTCCCTCGAGCATGTTGTTCTTAAAGCCCTTTTAGATATCTTTTTGCCTCTTGTTTAAAAAGTGCGATATTTTCCCCCAGGTCACTGCATTCTGTAAAACAGTTGACAGCCGACTCTATAGCTACAGTTTTTTGGTCGCTTTCCTCATCAATGGAGTCTTGTAGCTCTTCAGTGTCACTACGAATGACTTCTTCAACAACATCCTCAAATGCTTCAGAAGCCGCCATTTTGAAATTTGTTTTGTATTTTGAAGCGCGCGTCCGCTGTCCCGAGATGCGATCACTCCGGAGATGCGATCACTCCGGCTTTTCTGATGGCGCGTGTACCCAGTTACAGACATTACATTAATTAATGTAATTGTCTGTAAACATTAAAACTCTTACTGTTTGTCTGAAGTGTAGCCCTCTTTATCTATAAGGAACGCTGTAACCACAGGTATGAGAGGTATTCCTTTAGAATTAAAAGAATTTGTTGGAATCGAACACACCTTGAAAATCAAACATATATTCCACAGCTGAATTATTAATCCAACAGTTTTACAAACCAAGTCTTACACCTGATATTCGCACAAATCATAATGAAGGATATGAAAATAGCCCAGCTTAGTTCAGTTCTGTCGATTTTTTTTTCATTAAATCTCTCAGCTCACCTTTTCATCATTTTAACGTCCTTAAGTTTCTGCTTTAGGTTGAACATATCATTGTGTATTAAGATTTAAGGATCAGCTCCGCTATAAGTTTGGCACTGTTACATCGACATTCATACATTTAACAAAGAATTGGCTCACCCCATGAGCAAAGGAAAAATATCCTTTTCCTTGGACCCGAACTTGATGTTGGGAAAACTTTAACTAGCATGATATAAAGAATCACTCCCTCTGTTGCCATCCAGCAAAATGCGACAAGAAATAGATAATGTAGCAACATGGCAATTACAAAGCAGCCAGTCTAGAAACAAACACAGCAGTAAAGATAAGCGATCAGTTTGCAATCATAACCTCCACCGGCTCAGAGCGATTTGTGCGAAAAAAACTGTCCACAAATTTTTATACGGCGATAACTATTGTATCTTTTAACTTCCGGCTGAAGAGATCCCGTTATGACACGCTAACTAGAACGAAGGACATTCAGTAAGTTCAAACGATGATATGGCTCATTTGATGAGCTATATGTCGTATCATGAACACGAACGTTTGTAACCTCTGTTAGACATGTGATTATTTGGATTCTGGTACAAAGAGTTGAGAGAGAAACCAGACTGTTGTACAGTATAATCAAGTACCTTGTACTGTGTCTTTTCCATACCAACAACAAACAGCAGTTCGGCCAAAAAAAGCGATAGCACCAGGTTGATGTGAGCAAAATTACGATTCGATTTCAAAAACCTTAAGAAAAAGCAGTGGGAAATAGTAGGTTACTGAAGGTTCTCATGATTATTGTTCGGCATCTGAAAAAACTACAAGTCACAACTATACAAGATCAATGTCATACTTTCTCATGTTAAGGTGGAGAAACTGAGAGGGAGATTTCCATAAGTATGTACCCAACACCTCTCAAACAAACAACAACAACAATTTAACATTTATATAGCGCAAACTACTATATAGATAATCAGTCGCGCTTTACAATCAGTTAAGGTGAGATCGGACGTCAGAATTCATCAGGCGCACTATGCAGCCACTTCAGTCCATGTATTGATCTCACCTTCCCTCCCCAATTCACCCTAGATTAGACACTACACAAAGATAGACCACAACACCGGGCACTACGTGCAAACAAAAAAGTAACATTACATTGATTACAAAAAAGTAATCAAAAAAGCAAACAAAAGTAATCAACTTTTCTTGTGCGGGAAGTTCTTACCCAAACGAGCAAAACGTTACAAAAGCCAGCACTAGTGAAATCAGGGATATGCTGATGCCAATATACGTAACAAGTCCTAAGGCAATTTGGTTGGTCACCTGAAGACAAAAAAAAAAAAAAATAGTCGGACAATGTATACTGCTTACAAAACGTCTTCTTTCACAATGTATAACCGTTCAAAAAAAAGTATAGATGAATATTTTAGATATAGATCGATCTTAGGTTAACAGATATAGAATATGCTCAGAGAGGCAGAAGAATGAGAGTGACAAACGATGAAGAAAGTGAAAAGAAATTTTCTCACAACTTGAACCCAATTTACCTCCATATGCGAATCCGGTGTATATTGCATAAGGACGCTGAAGCTTGTCAAATGTTAACAATGACAAACAGTCACGGTCAAGTTTTTCAAATTCATATAACAACCTTCGGTGGACCATGAGCCGCCAACCCTGAAAAAGGAAAGTAAAAAACTGGCCAACTCAGAAATTTATGGCATATCATCAGCGTTACCAGCCGATGATAACAGTGGTTTAAATGGCGTTTATGAATTAGCACTAAGACCTCGCGACTTACTTTGAAATTTTCCAAAAGACGCACAATGGTTTGAGGCGTACGTCACTCTGAAAGAACAAATCCAGTGACGTCAGTGACAAGTTATCACAACGACAAATGTATATGAAAATACGCTCCATGGCTTTTGAGAGCAAATTAACTGTTTCAACGCACGTCCAATTATAGTTCACGACACGGTTAGTTGTGGAACCTCTGTATCATTTCATTATTCGACTATATACTCGGTCATCTCTTCGATTATGTTAGCAAAACCGATCGATCGGACCGGTCAATGTAAACCATAAATTGAACTTTCCCTTTAAGTTGCACCTGTATTCTGTTATGAACAAACTGGCCTGATAAACACAAATTGGAAATTTTAAAATCAGCAGGATAACTGTACTCGAGTTTTCCTTTTCCCTACTTTGTTTCCTTTTAGGAACGTTTATTTTGCGAGATAACGGCTATTTCTTTTGTTTTCCTTTGAAATTTTGCGCGGAAAGTAAGCGCGTAAGAGATCAAAATTGATCGCACATGATCGCTGTGTTGATCTGATAATAGATTAGTTTCAAAAATGAAGTAAGTACCTTCAAGATGAGTTTGTTCGAATCAAGGCAAGATGGGATCTAATAATTTAGACGTTAATATACGTATGAGAATTTCCTCTTCTCACCTGGTTATTGTGAAAAAATATCACCACAGGATCTGCGAAGTTGCCTGATGATTTGGGAAGAGTGGAAAGTGAAATAACACCAGGATTAGTCACACTCTTCAGTCTCTTAATATTCTCCTCTTGAGTAGCACTAGAGAATCTGAAACAATACAAAGCTTATTGTTATCAAAAAACATGCAAACTCTCACCCATTTTTATTCATTTACAACGAAACCGTGTACCTTACCTTGAGGTGGTCAGCAATTGTGCAATGTTCTTCATATATATAAAGGCAATATGATGAGCTGCCCCTGTAGAGACCACACAGAGAGATCTAGTCAAAGTCACGATGGAATGATGCAAATTTCTATGACGGCTAGAGCTTTATACATCGTTTTGTAGCGAGCTTCGTCATGCAAAATATACTGTATAACAATATATTATCATGTTGCGGTCTATGTGTTTCGTCTCCTCTATAACTTAGGGGCTAAAAAGGGAACTTGCTAGTACAAGACAATACATGTACCTGAAGATGTACTGTTGCCTTTTCTTTGTAACTCAGATGTTGGCATCTCTATTTTGCTTCCAAGTCCATCATCCAACGCGGAAAAGATCACTCTGTCAGCAATAGAATCCTCTTCCTTAACTGAGCGAAATTTTAACACTAAACGAAAAGAGGTAATGTAACATAGTCTTGTATAAATGATCCGTGTACTTTCATAGAATGATGGGAATCCCTTTTTAAATACTCTTTTCTTGACAGAATTTGTGAGTCTATATCGTGCCATTGATATGGGCAATTAGAACCGGCAGTTAAGTTATACTCAGATAATCTTACATAGCTATTTATCGACGTAGAAAATAGAGCAGGTGACTGGCTTAGGTATGACAGTGTATGCTTTAGAATGAATGTGAATAATACTCACCGATATTAGAAGTGTCAAAACTGGAAGTATTTGTGCTGTTTGAAAGTGAAGCAGTCTTCAAAGCTATATTTTCCATAGTGATCAAGAGCTTTGTAGCTTCATCTGAACGAGATTTCTACCAGGAGAGAAGAAAGTGTAGCTTACCAGCAGGTTTAACAATATAATCAAGTTCCTTTGCCATTAAACTTTGTTATTCAAAGGGAAAAGTTCTTCGGCAACACTTTTCTAACTAAAGCTTGGTACGTGTTTATTGTTCAGCACATTGAACAGCGCCATTTCAGGTAGGGGTTATTACCCGTAAAGCCATTTAGAAGTCTCAATTGATTAATAGAGGCTAGATAAAGTGTCCACCAGGATCTAATTAACCTTGTAGGTACTCAGTTGCAACATCAGTCTTTGAAGCAGATGCATTCGTAAACATTAGCACTGATGAATCCCGCAAGACGTTATCACATGTTACCCAGTAACCGGTTGAGAATGTATTTAACAGAAAACAAGAAACGTGAGAGCATACCAGAGGTGAATCTTGCCAGGCATCCATTGTCCTTTCATCCAGAAGATTGTTTGCTACGTTAACTACATTCTGCAAAAGGTGATGATTGATTATAAGGGGAAGACAGCCCAAAACTTGTAAATACAAAACAAAATTCCACTGTTCGAAGGATGCTTTTGACCGTTGAACAACAACAACAACAAAAAATCAGTTTCTTCATACTGCAAACTACTTGATACGACCACATTCGCTTACTTTTTTGCACTATTTATATTCTCGAAACTACTCATGTGGCCTTTCAGACCCCCGTTGTAACAGAATGTTTCTTTCTTTCTTTCTTTCTTTCTTTTTCTTACACTTACCTTCACAAAAGCATTAGCTTTTTCCTGATTCATTGATGCATTTTGTGCGGTTTTTTGATCCAGAAGTTCTAGCATTCCGACAGCGGCGCCCAAGTCGCCACTGACTGTGAATCTATTTTGCGTAGGGTCCGTAAGCTTTGAAAGTTCGTAGGCCAGAGATACCGCAGTGTCGGAATCAATCTCATTCTTAGAAATAATCTAAACCAGTCCAGAAGGGCAAATATATGCCAAGAAATTAATAACAATAAAAAAAAAAACAAACAAAAAAACAAATAACATCATCACAAGGCACCATTCAAACGTCTTAATAACGCGAGCTTAACTAGCTTTTAAAATTAAAATTGAACTCATTGTAGAGTAACTATACGTTCGGCCGTTTTCCGCTTATACATTTTTATTCCTTTATGAATACCTTTTAAGAGAAGACGTAACTTCGAAAATTTCAGACGGAATTGGTAGTATAACCTTAAGAGTGATAATCTAATCAACTAATTATACTAATAACTCAGAGAAATAGTACGTACTTGAAGTTGGAGTTTTCTGAACTTGTCGGAGACACAATTTGTCAAATCTGGTTCATGCCAGGACGCTTTGACCTTTGATGAACAGGAGCGGTTGGCCCACCCTTAAATTAAATAATACATTTCAACCTCCGCAACTTAAGAGACAATATCATCGATCTGAGTTCACAAAAATGTCGCGACCTTTATTAACTCAAATTTAAGAAGTTTTGTCAACTTAAATACTTGCTTTAGAGTACCTGAGAATCCATACGGACAACCTCGCTGAATGGTTTTCCCCTTTGGAGTTCGCAACCAAGTTATATTTCTGAACAACTCCTGCTGGCAGAAGTCGTCGTCAAAACTATTACCCGAATCGACTACGAAAGAAAAAGGAAAAAGGAGATGTTTCAATCGTAAGAGGTTGGTTGACCAATTTCGTGAGGTTTTGTTCTGGCGGATTATCACTGGCTGCTGTGTATTTCCGTACACGAACACTTACACGCACACTTTTGTAACGAGCTTTCCTAGCTCATAATAATAATAATAATAATAATAATGAACGTTCTTAATACGCATTTAAGAATCTCAATGCGCTTACAATAAATAATAAAAATAATAACAATAACAAATTATCAATAACAACAATAAAAATAAAACACTTAAACTACAAAGGTGACATTACTCATCACGGAAGTGGCGACGAAAAAGGTAAGTCTTAAGTGCCGTTTTAAAAGTTGGCAGGGACGAGGCTGACTTAATATGTTCAGGAATAAGGTTATGAGTTAAGTTTCCGTTGTTTATCCTTTCGGAGCACACATTTTCACAATGGACCACGGTATCGTGATTTCGTATTTTTATTTTTTTTTCTGTTGTCCACCCGAAGAACAACCATTTAAAGTTAGTCATTCTAAAGTCATCAAACGTCCTATTATGGCGTCCTTTTCCCGACCGCTGTAATATGCTATCATTTTCTGAGGGTATCGGTCCTAATGATTGATTTAATTCAATTTACTCCCATCACATCATTCTCAGGTTATGAACTTTTTTACCCTTTCAAACTTCCCACGAGAGATGGGGTGAGAGGTCTGCTACAGATTTAACGAAACTGTAAACGAAATTGTAATGAGCTATATCAAACTTTACATTTCACACTTTATGTAAAAGCGGAGTAATTTGACAGATTTCTAACTAAGCAGGACCTGTTGGAAATTTCTTACCTTCGCACCAGTTAAATCCATCCCCAGTAAATCCTTTCCCACAGCTACACTCATACAATCCAGGTACATTTTTACACGCCGCTTCCTCATGGCATGGTTGCTGGGTGCATTCATCAAAGTCTAGTTGAAGCAAATGTGAGCGACATTTGACACTTTCTCTAGTGACTTAACCGTGTAAAACTCTGCCAGCATTGGTTTCCTGCTGTAGCTGAGTTTCTCTTGACATGCAAATATGACAAGGAAGTGTGCTGTTTATCAACAGCCAACGCATAGTAGATAAAACTGAATTATTTTATAAAGGGGCAACGTTTTCAGTGGACTGACCTAATGTATTCACCTCCCTCGCCATCTCCCACGGACCTGCATACTGTGTGTTCCGACCTCGAACCTTAACTTTAAATGCTGTGTATTGAGGAAGACTTTTCAGCAGTACATCAGCAGTTTTACCCACTCTCTTTCTGGTGCAATCTAATGACCAGTATTCTACGTCATATGATTGCACTTCCTCTCTTTGGTCAAGAGGTATCCAAGTGACTTTGATGATGTCCGAGCTCAGAGCAATGGCGGTGACGTTTTTGGGCTTTTCTTTTTCGAAATAATAGAGAAAAAATTAATTTAGAAAACAAGAAAATTAAAAAAGGGAGGGTAAACGTGCGACCAGAAAGAAATAGATAACACAAGTTTATTCATAGTAATCACGGGTTTTTTAGGAATCAAGTTAACGGCCTGCTCCCAGTTGGCTTGTTAGCTCAATTGGTAGAGCGCTCCAGTTGTATCGCAGAGGTCAGTGGTTCGAATCCCGTACAGGCCTGATTTTTTTCAGGTCTGATTTTCGCTATTGCATAAATAGCGCTATCTACTGCGAAGGATCGTGCATCATACGTATTTAATACCGCAGTTCAAATATATGAACTTCATATATTCATTGTACAAGTAAAGAAAGTAGCCAACTTGCTTGTGTATAGGAGCAAAACAGAATCCTAGGGGTTTGGCCTTAGATATTTGCAGTCCGTCGTTGTACTCTTTTATCACGCGAAACTATTGAAAGAATAGGGATGTACTGGATGATACATCTGGTCCAGGCTCAATAATAAATACGCATCTACATGACTGAAGTTCTTTATGAGCCCCAGAGAGGTCCATATGCGAAGCAGTGCAACCAAAAATAATACTTTCCGCATACCTGTAACAGGTGGTACTTTATTTGTTTTGGCCGTCTTGGTTTGTGACAGCGGACCAATCCCTGCGGACGTAAAGCCTTGTACTGCTACGGTGTACTCGGTGTTAGCTATGAGACCAGTTATCAGGTAGCTTTCAGCGCCTTTAACTGCTATGAGACGTTTCTTACTTGCCTTTTCAAATAACTTTAAATGGAGAAAACATAGTGAACCAATTTGCACCCGGCAGAATTTGGTATATAGATAACTGAATGCGGATTGCTTTAAATGTCTCGCCTGAACCGCAAAGATTATTATTATATTATATTATTATTTTATTATATTATTATATTATTATATTATTATATTCAACATTATCTATACAGCTACTAACATATTGATACATTTGCCTTTTTGTTATTAATGCAAGTGTAGACAAATGCAATGAGGGTCCGACTTGAAGTTCCAGTAGTTAAAGATAACCATGCATGTGCAATACTGATTGTAAACACGAGATAATCGGCCGTAAGCACATCTAGATTAAAAAGGCTAAAAGCTGATTCGAGTATCAGGCAAAGTTAACCTCTTACCTCAATACTATAACCTCGGATTATACCATTAACTTTAACAGGCGGAGACCATTGTGCCAAAAGTGAAGTCGAGTTAAAGGAAGCTATCGTCAGATTTTGAATATCTGAAGGTACTGATTAAAAACAAAACACTACATGAAATGACGAATATGAGGAGGTTCCATGAAGCATTTTACATTATGTATACGGAACGATATACTGATGTATAATCATTTTGTTGAATAAGGACTGTATACCGTTCAGGACATTTCTCTTTATTATCCATGTGTGTACTGAAAATTATACTTTCCTTACACAAAGTGTAAGGTTAATTATACAAGTAACTAAACATACTTTGAAAAAAGCTCTTAGCTGGATGTGTTTTGGTATGATATAATATGATCTTCTAGCCCACAGAAGTTACTTGTAGTAATATAAATTATATATTAAACAATGATAGTTAGTCTCTGATTAGAAGTGACGCGTTCGGCAATTGACAGAGTTGAGACAATTTCCTTTGATTACACTGATCAATCCACTCATAATATCTAGAAAGTTCTTGTCTGACCATCACCGATCCCACGACAGTCTTAAACATGTTATCATAAAGATATATACGAGATGAGTTTATTGGTTTCATGCAGTGACTAAATTTGAAGCACCTTATATTACCCGGAAACTTAAAGGTGTCACTACGTGAACACACTGAATGAAAGTAACCAGATTATTTTTCTTTACCTCCTTGTTTTGTGCGGCAGAGCAGAGCCCCAAGACACCTGTTATCTTTACTGTCTTCTCTCCAGAGACGAATCTTATACGAGGTGTATGGTGCTGAAGAAAGTGAAATAAAAGGGAGTGAATTTCCTCTGGTTGTTTAATTAAGATCTAACGTAGTGTTTAAAACAGGAAACTGATTATGTCCATTATCATGTCCCCGCTCACATAATCTTGCATATTTGTTTATTTACGATCATGTCAATTTTCTCTATTATATAATTAATTCTTTTTTTGTACATTGACTTTGTTGCTATGACTTCCAACGAAATCCGTGTTTCAAACCGATGTTACTTATTCTGCATTTTCGATATTAAGAAATACCCGAAAAAAGGGGATAACAGCAGCTTACCACACTTATTTGCGAACAAATGACATTTTGTCTCTCCGGCGAACTCCGGTCACCTTCAAAGGGCTGTAAATTTAAATCTTTTCGAAGTTGTTAGGGGCACAAATTTAATAGAACCTTACCTGAAATAACAAATATGAACAGACTTACCAAGATCTTTCACAAAATGGTGATCAGTTGGATAGTCAAGGACTTTGTTTAAAACTTGCGCATGCGTTTTATTTCTCCAGACTTGAATCCTGTACGTTGATTTCCTTATCTGAAATAACTTACGCTTTATAACCTTCCAGGTCACGTTTAGAGAGGTATTTGTGGCTGTGCAGTGTATTTTTGAGAGTTTATCTGTAATTGATTGAAATGAAAAAAAAAGACTGACTTGAGGAGTTTCCTGAAAATACGTCAATGGGTATCACAATTAAGTACATGTAATAAATGGCGTGGTTCGATTAATCCTCTGTTCCTTTCATACCACAGAATAACCATAGGTCATAGAATTTGAAAAAATACTGGAAAAAGCAGCTACGTTGATGGTTTCTAGAAGTACACGCTAAAAACTAAATAGTCTAACCTACTTGTTCATGATATATATATCTTATTAACCAAGCGCGAGGGCCGTACTGGGAGAATATCGGCCCGAGGTCTTGACAGTACGGACTGAGCGCAGCGAGGTCCGTACAAAAAAGACCGAGGGCCGATATTCTTCCAGTACGGTCCCGAGCAAGCTTGGTTAATAAGAGATTTATTACACGACTGAAGTTCAAAGGGACACAAGTGCGGTATCATTCGGGATCATTCGGGACAGTGCCCGGTCCAATACTGAGAGAATATTGACCGGCAATAGAGCATTTTGATTGGTTGATTTTAGTTATTGGCCCTCTGACTTCCCGAGTCGTGTAATAAATTCAGGCTACTGACGTGAACCTACTCATTTGTGACTGGAATGCTCTCCTCACTTCAAAGCCATGCAGTGATCTATTCCATGTTATAACTTCATCATATAATCCTCCACTCTCCAAGTACAATTCCGTACGTAGAACCTGCCTTGGGAAGTTTCCCCTCAGCTTGATGTATTTCGAAAGATTACTTTCCATTTCAACCACAGATGAATTAATTAACTTTCCGTTGATGTAGGTGGCTAATTGGTTTTCGCGACCGTCTCCTGCTCTCCAAGTTATCACGATAAAATTCCAAATCTCTTGCTGAATTTTGAGTGGCTCCTTCCAGCTAAGCCCACTAACCATAATCTCCACTACGACTTTCCTTTCGGTATCGTTCGTTTCATTTTGGTAGACAAAAACACCTTTCAGGTCTGTGAAATCATTTGTAGACGTGCCAAGAAATATTTGAGGGTCCGTTGCGGTATGCTTTATTAGTAGCCAGAATGCCAAAGAGAACTCGGAATCACAAACCGTTATGTTTTTAAGACAAAGATCTGTAAATGATCCTAATATCAAGCAGGAATGACCAACTAAGCTAAGGTAGTCTGTGTTGTTTAATGTGGTGCCGATGAGCTTTAAAACGTCTTGTCCCGACACGTGGTCCTTATAAGGATAGGGATCGTTGAAAGACCATTGATGCGTGATGGGGCTGATTGTATCTAAAAATGATATAAGTTGTAAACAGAAAATATAATCCAGAGAAGTAACTTTTAACTGGAAGACAAGAAAGATTTATGCATTGTGCCTAGATTTAGGGTTTAGCTAAAATACCCACAGAAGCAAGTTAAGAGGTCAAAACTCCTAAAAGAACGATTAGAACTCAAACTAAACAAATCAATTTGATTCGTAATCAGCCAACATTTGACTTTAAATATTACGTCTCCTTTTTTTTCTTTTTCTCTGAGTAAAACACTGAAACAACAACTCCATATTAACGTTTACTAGAAAAGAAGCGAGCGAAGACCTGCAGCAACGACCGTGACTAAGATTCCTGATATATTCAAGCAGAACACACTTATTACAGCTGAATTTAATTTTATCTTTTTATATAAGCTCCTACTGGGAACTGATGGAAAATCTCGATCTGTGCCTCGCTGTTCCAATATACAGATTCATTCATTTGACCCTGAACCATGAGTAGCAGTTCTAACTATGAACTGCACGCAATCCAAATTTGAAACTTTCTGATGCGTTTTGGAAAAGAACCCAATTAACACGTTTGTAAAATTGTTAGACCAAGTATGCATTTCTAATCTAAGTTCTCAAATACAACTTCTTGGGTGGCTCACAGGCAGCCCAGGCTCACTACTAGAAAAGCGGACGTGACTCTTACCG